AAAGCCGGAGGCGGCGGCCGCTCGGGTTCCGCTAGGCTTCCCCGTGCCTTTCCCTCGCGCCGCGCCTCCCGCCGCCTCCCACCGCCGCCGAACTTGATGTGCCCAGCCTGCCCCCGACACCCGGCCTGACGCGGCGGCGCCCCGCTCCTCACGGGCCTACGTAGCCCTCGGGGGCGCCCCGCTCACCCACCTCGGGGCCCGGCGCCCGCCCACGCACGGCGTTCTCCTCACCGCGTCTCCCTCGCCATGAGCAACCTGAAGCCGGACGGCGAGCACTGCACCGGCACGGGCCCCGGCGGCCCCCTGGAGGAGGAGGTGGGTCTGCGGCCGCCGCTCTCCGCGCGCGTGAGGTGCACGCGGGAGGAGGGCGCGCCGGGCCTGGGGCGCCGCGCGAGGTCGTGCGGGCCAGTGCTCCTGGCGCCTTCCCGCCGCTGCCCTTCGGCCCGGGGAGGAGCGGTCGGAGTACTGCTGGCGGGCGGGCGGGGGCGTGCGGCCTGGGCTGGCCCCACTGGGGCGGCATTGTATCCCCGCCCTCCCGGGCTCGGCCGCCATCCGTGTGTCCCCCGCGGTGGGCTCGCGGCGCCGCGTCCGTCCCACGCCTGCTGCCCTGGCTCCCCACGCGGGGCCGGCGCGCTCCTTCACTCTCCGAGGAGCACCTCCTGGGTGGCCGGCCTCGGCCCCTGCTGGAAGGAGCCGAGGAGGGGCCGGCCGGCTGACGGGCGACATCCTCGCCCTCCGGTCTTTCCCACCCTGACCCTCCGCCATGACCTTGGAGGCTGGGTGCTCCCGGCCGGTACCTTGATTCACTAGAGCTGTGGCCCTGGGGGCGGGTGGGTTGGCTTCCCTCGGAGTTCCAGAACTTGGGCTACGACGGAGATGAACCGACTATTCAAGCCCGGAAAGAGCATTTAAAGATACTAAGTATCCCCATTCTCTTGTGCTTTTGAGCTGGTAGCCAGGCCAGGGCCCTCAAACTGGCCCGGGGGTATTCTCCAAGAAGGTAACATCATCTTGTCCACCCACCCTGTGCTAAAAGAAGGGCTTAGGAGACGGCCTCAGGGTATCTACAGCAGCCCATGTCTGGTTAATGGGCTGTTGAGCAGGATGCACGGGTGCGGTGCCCTGGCCTTGAAGGTAGCAGAGAATGGGAGATAGGCAGAACTAGTGTGGAAAGGCTTCTCGGCTCCTAGGAAGCACCTCTAAGCCCCGCTGTGTCACTCCAGGAGGCTGAGAGACCCTTCCTGCCCCGCCCTGTCATGCTCTTGCCCAGGAAACCAAGGGTCACTTATCCAGTCTAAGCGCCCTTCCCCTTGGTCTGGGGTAGAAACCGCAGAGGCCCTGATGTTGCTAACCCATTGTACCATGAGGTTGGTGCAGAATGGCTCAGAGACCCATTGTTGAGCTGGCTCCCCTGACTTAGCAGTTGGGAAGCCTGCTACCAGGCCTAGTACACCAGCGGCCTGGCGTCTTGTGGCACTAGGTTTGGATCCCTGCTTTGGAGGGAAAAAGGCTGGGAATTAAATACAACTCTTAAATCAAAAGGTGGAAATTGAGGACATGACATCTGTCCACTAGCGGCTCTAGTGTGGTGGCATGGTTTTGGTGTCTGGGCTTTGTCCTCCTTGGGCCTTATTACCCTTGGCTTTGGTGCTCTTCACGGAGTCCTCATTCTACCTGGTGGTTCAGAATCTCCCTCAGAGTTGGGGGTGGGGTGGGGTGATGGGGGTGTGTATTTGCTGGTGTGTTTTGGGATCTCTGCTTGTTTTCCCATCCCCTTGGGCTGAAATTGGGGAAGGGCAGTGCCTCCTAAAGTTGGGCAACCACCCTGAATCCCACTTCTGTTAACGGGTTGGCATTCAGCAGGGACTTCACACTGATTGAAAGGCTGTGAGACTGGATTGATCAGTCCCTCTGGTCTGATTCCCTTTGGGTGGGAATTAACCATGTGGCCAACCTGGAGTTGGAATAAACATTTGAGGACTTGGCTGCTTTTAAAAATGGCCTTTCTGGGAGAGAGGGCAAGATGTTAAAAAAGTAGAGTCCCTGCTATTCCTCTTAAGGGAGTGAAGTGGGCTGCAGCCCTGGTGGTTCAGAGTCCTCTTGACTAGTGTCTGCAGAGAGGCATGGGCTTGTATTTAGCAGAATTCTAAAATGAAGGCAGTACTCACACTTTGTCAGCATATACACTAAATTTGGAACAATACAAGGGAGATAAGTATGGTCCCTTTACAAAGATGACACGAAATTCATGATGCTTTTCATGCAATTTTAAAAATAAAATTGGGCTGGTGAGATTGCTACCAGATAAAGGTGCTCACTACCAATTCTGATGACCTGCTCCCTGGGACCCACTTGGTAGAAAAAAGAAAACCAATTCCTGCAACTTGTATTCAAACCTCCACACGTGCACCCTGACATGCATGCTTTCCACCATGAAAAAAATAAATTAAAATGTAATTAAAATTTAAAATAAACTGAGGGTGTGGTGATCTGGCTCCAAATGTCTGCTCTGGTCTGGTGAGAACAAGAGTTAGTCCTTCATTTCAACAGCATTTTTATCAGTTGGCCAAGAGCTCCCTTAGGGGCTCCATCTCTTTTTGGTGGTTTGGACTAGAACTGATCTCTTTCTCTTTAGATGACCCCAGGCAGTCGGTTCTATAATCCTAAGACCTTCATCTAAGGAATTTTGTTAGCACTGCTGGGGCTGACCCAGACTGGCCCTTCTTAATCAGCTACTGATTAGCTAGAGCAAGCCTAAAAAATCAAACCTACTGTCCATCTTAAGACCTCACTTCCAGGAGCTGAAGAGATGGCTCAGCCATTAAGAGGCTGCTCTTGCAGGAGGACCCAGGTTCAGTTCCTAGTACTCACTTGGTGACTAACAACCTTTAACTTCAGTTCCTAGTACTCACTTGGTGACTAACAACCTTTAACTTCAGTTCTAGATGCCCTTTTCTGGCCTCCACCGGCACTGCATGCATGTGGTGCATTTAAATACATGAGCTCTCACTTTAAAGACAGCCAGGTCCCAGAACAAGGGTGTGTTTCTGTGGGGCTACTTATCTGGAAGTGCTTTGTATAGCTTCAGCTTTCCCTGCTTACCTCCTGCCATACCATGGGCTTCATCTATACCACAAGCATTAGGTTCCTTCTCTGGACCAGAGGTTAGGAATATAGCTGAAAAGATTGCAGGCTGGGGGTGAGGAAGACTAGCTAAGAAATGGTGGTAAGTTCAATACAGTGGTAAGTAAAGAGATGTCAGCACATGGTACCATGATGAAGCTAAGAGGTTAACTCTTTTTGAGAAGTTGGTGAGTAGAAGGTTGTTAGTTGGAGTAGAAAGGGCATTTTTGAAGGCATGGTGTGAATCAAGGGGTGACTCCCAAGGCTGAGGTCCCAGGTTCAAGGCCAGCTTGGTTACAGAGTGAAACCCTACTTCAGAAGGAAAGCTGAAGAGCAAGGTGTATATACAGGATTGTGGAGACCTCATGGCTTGTTTGGGTCAGTAGTTTACTATGCTGTAGCAGTAGCAAGGGCCACATTATGAAAAGCCTGAGATCATGTGGTAGTGGGGAAGAAATTGCTATTTTCTTGCCACTTGAAGATGTGTTAAAAGCTTTGATAATTTTGAAAGCTAAGGAATTAAGGGTAATTAAGCAGGGAATTAAGGTTAGAAGCTCAATGTCCTGTTTAGTCTAAGGCTATACCATCCTCTAGATGAGTCTTGCTGGAGTATCAGATGATGTCACACAGATCCTGAGACCCTACTTCGGACACTTGAACCCAGACCCAAGCATATATCATCCTAGTGATTCTTCAGGCTGGGTAGTTATAGTGTCTCTGAAGAGCAATGTGTGGTATTTATTGGCAGGGTCTTGCTACAGAGCCCAGGCTGGTTTGGAATACCTGGCAGACCTGGGACTATGTAGCTTGAGGTGGCCTCAAACTCTTGATTCTTCCAGTGTGCTGGAATTAAAGGTATATGATACCATACTTGGCTAAGGTTTGTGTTTGTGTTTTTTTGTTTTTGAGACAGGTTCTCCTTATAGTTCCTGCTGGCCTGGAACTTGCTATGTAAACCAGACTGGCCTTGATCTCACAGAGATCTACCTATCTCTGCCTCTGGAGTGCTGGGATTAAAGATGTGTACCACCATACCTGGCCTTGGCTGTTCTTTCAAACTACTTCATTGAAGTATGATTGACATTCATAAAGCTGAACATACTAACATACATAATTTGGTGAATTTGGAGATTTGGTTACTACGTACACACAACATACACACATATGTGTGTGTGTGTGTGTGTGTGTGTGTGTGTGTGTATGTGTATGTGTGATGCTAGGGATTGAGCCCAAGGCCTCACTCATGATAGACAAGTAGTCTGTCATTGAGCACTACATTCCAGCCCCTACAAGAGTTTTAGTTCCTGAATCCTTCGGTGGTTGTGGTATGAGATTCATGAGTTGAGGATGTGTAAGTTCCTTAGACACATTTTATTTATTTATTATTTTGTTTTATTTTATTTTAAGACAAGGCTCACTATGTAGCCCTGACTGGTCTAGAACTTGTTATGTAGTCCAGGCTGGCCTAGAATTTGCAGAGATCCACCTGCCTAGGCCTCCCAAATGCTGGGATTTAAGGCCAGTACTATCATATTCAACCTGTTAAGTTTTATGCCAGCCTAATTGTAAACTGTAGAAAGGCAGGAGTTAATGGCAGCCAGGAAATCTACAATTTGACTTACTGTTGCAACCTCCTTCCCCAGGGCAGCTGGGAAAGGAGGATGTTCCTCAGAAAGATGTCAGGAAATAGCCAGGCCTCTGGTCCCTGAGAAGTTAGAGTTTTATCCTCCCTCCCTGAGGTGTGGGTGAGTAGGAGGGTATTAAGCCTGCCTGGGTAGGCAGGCCTAGGTTAGTCAATATGAGTGCAAAGGGAATTCCAGGACATTTGAAAGCTGAGTGTGATGGGTCATGCCTGCAATCCTAGCATATAAGAGGCTGAGGCAGGAGGACTGCTTCAATTTCAAGGCCACCCTGAGCTTCATAGGAAGTTCCAAGCCAGTGTGGACTACAGAGTAAGACCCTGGCTCAATGCAGAAAACAAAAAGCAAAACTGGATATGGTGTCACATGCCTGTAATCCCAGCACTTGGGAGGTAGCAGGAAGATCAGGGGTCAAGGTCATCCTTGACTACATAGTGAATTGAGGCTAGCCTAGGTGGGCTACAGGAGCTCCTGTCTGAGAAAAAATTAAAAAAAAAAACACACACACAAAAAGGGCTTGAGAGATGGCTCAGTGATTAAGAGCACTGACTGTTCTTGCCGAGGACCTGGGTTCAATTTCCAGCACATACACGGTGGCTAATAACCATTTGTAACTCCAGTTCCAGGAGATCTAATGCCTTCTTCTGGCCTCTGAGGGCATTGCGCAATACAGGTGTACTTACATGCAGATAATACACTCATACATAAAATAAGTATCAAAAAAAGAACCAGGAAAGCAGAGTGGCACGCACCTTTAATCCTAGCATTTCAGGGGAAGAGGCAGGATCTCTGAGTTCAGGCCAGTCAGGACTACAAGGTGAGATCTTGTCAAAAAAATAAAGAAAAACCATGGGGCTGGAGAAATGAGTCAGCTGTTGAGAGCACTTGCTGCTGTTTGAGTCTCAGCACCCACACGGTGGCTAACAACCATCAGTAATTCCAGTTCCAGAGGCTATGAATGCCCTCTTCTGACTTCCAAGGTACCAGGCATACACATGGTATCTATGCAGGGAAAATGCTCATGCACATAAAATAAAAATTGTTTTGTCTTTTTTGAGACGTGGTCTTCTTGTAGCCCCAGCTGTCCTGGAACTCACTATGTAGACTAGGCTGGCCTCGAACGCACAAAGATCCTCCTGCCTCTGCCTCCCAAGTGCTGGGATTAAAGGCGTGAGCCACCACACCTGATCTAAAAGTAGTTTTTTTTTTAAATACAAAAACAAGCTGGTTGTTTTTGAGAGAAAGGCGGATCTCTTGTGTTCAAGGCTAGCCTGGTCTATGTAGTGAGCACCAAAACAGCTGGGGCTATAGGGAGACTCTATCTCAAAAAGACCAAAAAATAAAAAATAAAAATAAAAACACAAAACAAAAACAAAGAAATCAGAAAATTAAAAAAAAAAACAAAAATGGGGCTGGAGAGATGGCTCAGCTGTTAAGAGCACTGACTGCTCTTGTAGAGGACCCATCTGGGTTCGATTACTAGCACCCACATGGCGGCTACTAACCATCCTTAACTCCAGTTCCAGGGGAATTGGAAGCCCTCTTCTGATCTCCACGGCATTGTATGACACGGGTGCACTCACATACACGCAGGCAATACACTCATACACATAAAATAAAAATAATAAATAAAATATTAAAAAAAAAAAACCCCACAACATTTGAAAGATCTTGAGACATCTTGGTGCTTATTGTGGTAGTGTTTTAGTATGGAAGGAAGCCTTGTATATTTCTGGGCATTTATCTAGAAACAGCCCAAGCAGGTGGATCTAGGAAGAGTCTGGGGGAAGGTCAGGCTCCTCTCGTCTCTGGGGTTGTGGATATGTCTATCCCTTCTGCTCAGATGGCGAGGCTGGATTGATAATAATAAGCCTGTCTCTAGTGTTTGTGCCAGGCATTGTCCTGAGCACTCCACTATCTTTTTTTTTTTTGGTCTTTTTGAGACAGGGTCTCCCTGTAGCCCCAGCTGACCTGGAACTCACCCAGGCTGGCCTTGAACTCACAGAGATCTGCCTGCCTCTGCCTCCTGAATGCTGGGACTAAAGGGGTGCACCACCAGGCCCAGCTTGCACTCCACCATCTTAATTCCTACTTCACACCAGCACTGTGAAGTATTTATATTATCACATTTATAAATGAGGAAACTGAGGCAAGTTGTTTCCTTTTACAAACTATCAAGTGGGGAGGGTAGAATTTGAGTCTACAGTTAGTACTCAGTCACATACTGTTCTTCTGTTTCACATTAGGATTGGTGAGATGGGACAACAGAGTAAAGCAAAAGAAGTGTCAGTAATATATGTATTTTTTTTTGGTCTTTTTGAGACAGGGTCTCCCTGTAGCCCTGCTGTCCTGGAACTATGTGGACCAGGCTGGCCTTGAACTCACAGAGATCCGCCTGCCTCTGCCTCTTGAGTGCTGGGACTAAAGGTGTGCGCCACCATGCCTGGCTTTGGTAATTTTTTTTCTACTGGTACTGGGGATCAAACCTAGGGCTTTGTACCTGCT